AAATCAAAAGTGCCCTCTTATTTCCGACAAAAAAAATCCCCCCCCCCCAAATTTTCATTTTTTTTTTTTTCATTTGATGTTCGTTACAAAGGGGTGCCTTGTCAGAACAAATAAGTAAACGACAGTCAGCGCCGTGTACGTCATAGTGGTGAAATGCGTAAACATGCAATTGATGAATAGATGGTAGTCGTCAATTTCAACATTATATGTGGAGTATAGTTAAAAGCAAAATCTAAACAAAGAATAAGCCGGAATATAACTATTTTATATGTTTGAATTGCTAAAATATAAATAAAAAAATTATTTATTCTCAAAAAATGTGTTGTACATGTCTCTTTCATTAACAAATTAACATTTGATATCATATGAATCACTTAGAATAAATCAACATTACTAGATAAATGTCTTCAAATGCGTTACTGAAAAAAGTCAGTCAGCAAAAACGTTATAAAATATATGGACGATGTCACGCTTTTGTTGGCGAACTTTTTTATATAACGCGTCACATACAGTTTTTGACACTATTGCTGACGTACTTTTTTCTATAATGAAAAAAATCCAGATCGTGATTTAGATGATAAGGAATGCGAGTTTCTTCATTCTGATTTCACCAGATGATACAGAAAATGTGATAGTATTTGTAAATCGAAGAAAAAAAATTTAATTATTTTTTTCATTTTTCGCAATTTTTCATCATCTACATGCCAACTTTATATGAAACTCTCGGGAACTCGGTATAGAGCACAAAAAGTGAGAAAAAAAAACATTTTTTTTCTCAATTCTCGAACACAGCTAAGTCGTCTATATCATGTGTTGTGAACAGAACGTAAAAATTTGTCATCTCTGTCACCCAAATCGTGCTTTGCAAATCTTTTTTTCATGCTGTCTCGCTCACCCTTGCATTCACACTTGTTTACAATCGACATTCTACTAACACACAACTCACACTTGTATTTTGCTGTGCAAAATTGCAAATGGCGCGTATTAACTTCGGCATCTTAATAGATAATAAACATACTACTACTCGCTATTAACATCGATCTTAATACTACTACACATGTTATTATGCGTAGTATGATTGGTTGTTAATAGTTAATAAAGGATTTTTCGTATTTAGTAATAAGATATGTTAATATTTCGATGTTAATAGGACATCTATAAGTTGACCGGCAAATTGAAGTGCCCCGAAATTTGAACCTCAAATATTAGCCAAACGAGTAAGGTACAATTAAAAATAAATTTCGGTACAATTAAGTACATTTTTGGTACAATTATTTAAACCTAGTCCCAAGTTTCGACTTTCATATGTGCGGACATTCGAATATACATCCAAATAAAATACATTTGAATTGACACCAGGTGAAGAAAGTCAAATGTCGAAGATGACCACCGAAGGTGCTTCACACAGGAAATCTAGTTCGAATTCAAATCGATCACCTGATTTGGATGGCGCATCCACAACGCTCATTGAAAAATGGCAAGAAAGTTTATCGGGTTTGATGAACGATCAAGAGGGGCGCAATTTACTATACCAATTTGTAAAGCAAGAAGCTGGCAAAAATTCACTCGATTACACGAGGCTGGTATTTTATTTTGCTGTCGACGGTCTAAAACTACATGCTGACAAAAAAATAATTGGTAAACTAATAAAAGACCTGAGGTAAGTGTAGAACAAATTATACGCTTGTTTTTAGCCAAATTCACATTATGTTTAATTTTCCACTTTCTCCTGATATGGTAGTGAGATGATAGACGATAAAATTCAAACGTCACCTGAGCTTAAAAAAACCATCTCCGATATTATAAGAAAAGAGAGCACACCAAATCCACGTGTTTTCGATGATTTTCAAAAAACGGTAGCAGACATGATTGCTACAACAACTTACCGAGCATTTCTGCAATCAGACATGTTTATTCAGCATGTGCATAATAAGAAATTTGAAAAACCACCAATTGCCAATGCAAGTTAATCAAGTTACACTAGCAACGTTGCGCCGGCAAGCTACAGTACCGCAACTGCTTCTATGACATACAGCACTACCGACGGTGCGGCGACTTTGAAAATTCAGTGGAATGACCGTTGAACTATCACCATTGTTAACGACACCAACGTTATAAACATTACACGAAGATAACGAACTTAAGTTAAGCCAATCTACTTCAACAAAAACAACGACTGATCGATCTATGCCAAAGCTAACAAGTGAAAATTTGTTAGCCACGGAAAGATATAGTTTTGCGTTTTGCGATATCGTAATAAATTTTTATTAGGATGATAATTATTATGTTCTATATCGTTATTAGGATCGGATCCTAATAACGTTATTATGATTTTATTAACTTATCATGATAAAATCATAATAATGTTATTAGGATTATATCCTAATACTTATTATGTTTTATCATAATATTTATTGAGATTGATCTTAATAAATACCGTGTTCACTTGATAGCATATTGTTATTCAGCCAAAAACAATTTTCAACAGATGGCGCTACTTCGGACAAGTGAAGTGTCCACGGTATTTATTAAGATGAATCCTAATAAATATTATGATAAAACATAATAAGTATTAGGATGTAATCCTAATAACATTATTATGATTTTATCATGATAAGTTAATAAAATCATAATAACGTTATTAGGTTCCGATCCTAATAACGATATTGGTGGGAATGCTTATTATTATTAACTTATCATAATAGTTTTTTATTACGTGCAAAACTATACGGAAAGAAGAAGACTGGAGATTAGACCACAAGGGTAAGTGATTTTATTCACAAATCATTTCAATGTAACAACCTTTTTATGCATCGTTCTTTTTTGTACTTTATTAATTACATTTTTTTCTATTCATGTTGTGTTGCATCATAGTTTGAATAACCTAACGTAAACTAATCGTTTATAAATTATGTTGAATTTGAATTTTTCAATATAAAAAAAAACTCTATTACATTTGTTATGCATAACAGAGACGGAAAGCCATATATACATCGAAAACCAATGCAACACGAAGATTTCCGAAAATATGTGAATCCACAGTCGCAAAAAGTTGCCCCTAAACCTCTATCACATGGCATGAAAGAAACTGTCGGACTACCATCAAAAAGAAGACTTGAACAAGCAGCACATAAATTAGATACATCTTTACTGTGTGAAAAATTAAATGAACTGAAACGTGATCAAGACCGCAAGGAATTAGAGAGAGGAGAGTGTCAGCAATTAACACAGCATGTTCATAAGAAATTAACAGCGCAACCCCGATTATTTCCTTCTCAATTAATTACTTCGTATTTTCTTTTTGCAATTACATTTGTTTGTTTTATAGCACATCGATTTGGAACGATATGATCAATCGATTTTGGATCACCATGTTTCGATGGTTTTTTCACCAATTATGTCACCCGGTACTAGTTCTTCTTCTCCACAGATCAATGCATGATTTCGGTAAATGAAACGATTAATTTTTTACGAAAATTCAATTTCAAAAGTGTTTCACTCTAAATAAAGAACAGATTTTATCGTTTCGCTATGGATAAAACCGAACAATCACAAACCACCAAATTACGACGATAATTACAGCGAGGCTATGCAGCAAATTCATTATGGTTGTCTGTATGGTTATGTTAGGTGGCCCTAATTTGTGCCATTTTAGCTCCGCTGGCAACCGCACCAATTCGGCTGTAAACATTGCTTTTCATCGTCGTACTTTGCTAATAACTAATAACTTATTAATAACCTTTACAACACTATCTACAGCAAATCATCAACACATGCGACAATCGAGATCAATGGAACATATTTCAACCATAGCTATGTTCGGTAGTACAACAACAACCAAAAAATTATCTCACAAGTGGCCTTTAACAAGCGTTAATCATGATAGTCGAATCGATAGTTTATACGAGCCAATTCGCCATACAAATTAAAGGAAATGAAGTCAACGTAAGTTTAACTTGAGATGAAAACGACTAAATAAATACATTTTTCAATTTCCAACAATTGATTAACCCTCCTATGTATAGAGTAAAAAAAAAACTTGAACGGATAGAGTCGGTCCATTGGACCGCCCATACAAAATGTATGAAAAGTCTATGAAATGAACAAAATTATATATTTTTTTTTGTTGAAATTTTCATTATAATTTTATTTAAATGGGAAAAAAGATTGAAAATAAATAATTTATGACAAAATTAATTGGAATCTGATGATACAGTTTCATACGGACGCTTTTTGGTGCAGTTCTTACACATCACAATTCTTTCGGAATGTTCACCACAAACATTTTTCATACATTTGCTGCACTGTGTTCGCGTCTTTCGATTGATTTTAGTGGGACATAAATGACATGCACCTTTTTTTATCTTGTTTGGTTTGCGTTGTTGAAGTTGACGGTGCTGTTGAACTGTGCTGAGTACAGCTCGATGCGCTTTATTAAATCCATAAGTAGATCTGCGTGCTATTTGATCATACACCAATGCTTCTGATAATTCGATCGAAAATTTCTTGCGTTGAAATGAATATCGATCTCGTGTAATTCCATGTGTTGCATTATTAACAATGAACGCAGCGAGTCCACAATGTGGAGTACACATACATTGATCAAGTTCATGAAGAAAGGCCAACGATTTCTGCCTCGTTGACATGAATAGCTGTGACACAGTTGATCCAACTGATCAACGCCACCTTTTGAGCTGTTATAAAATGTGTTGATTTCAGCTTCAGAAACCACATTTTTGATCGACAGCGAACGAATCATGTCTGTGTATCTTAGCTTATATACACATATACACACTTTCCTTCTTTTTTATTCTTTGCTACATTGCTGAATCTTCTCTATATGCACCGTTTTATAATTTGACAGTTTAGAATTGTTTTATTTTTTAATGTTTATATGAGGTTTTCATACATTTTGTACTATACGTTCTAAGTGAGATTTGGTTTTATCAAATGTCCACAACATATACAATTATTTTATGATAGAAACAGTATGCACATGAATTATAAACTTCTATACGAATAATCTGCCCGAGAAATTTTGATTTTTTTTAATTTACTTAGATTTTTATTCAATTTTTTCAAAAATTTCGGTCCATTGGACCGCCTCTATACCTAGGAGGGTTTAATACCGATCTTCTGAAACAGTGAACAATTGTCTAGTGAGACAATGTGTAAATCATCCAAGGATGATTTGAAACGAACGCGAAAACAAATGCCGATACCACCAAGCTACTATCATCAAACAAATTATATGCCGGCAACATCGAGCTATCACACCATCTCATTACCCCGAAATACGAGTCGAAATCACGAACCAATTGAAGATTACACAATTGCTGTTTATACATTTAGCGATGAGGATATACCATATCGAATAAAAATACAGGGCGAACGATTAACCCTTAAGCATTTCAAGGAATATTTACCGAAGAAGGGAAATTTCAGGTATATCATGTCACATGATTCATGTGTATTTTTTTAGCTTAAAACAATTTATTTCATTGCAATATTTGTTTATTTGTAGGTATTACTTCCAAATACATTGTGAGACATTGAAAAAAATCGTTCAAGAGGAAGTGGTTAACGATTATGATCTGTTGCCGTTGCTTGAAGGCCGGATAATGGGAACCATCAAATCCGACAATTAACCATAAATTTACAATTTTTCTAGACCAACGTAAACAGACACTTTGAAGTCTTTCGTTGCATTAAACACAATAACAAATGAAATGCCGATTAAAAACCAACTTTTTATATTCACCATAACAAATCGACTGCTCCAATATTATAATTTAATACAATTTAAATTATTCTAAGTACAATGCAGTAGGCGTATAAGAAGCGAATTGGGCGAAATCTCCTAAACATTTTATCACACTTTATTATATGATTTAACGAAAACAGATTATCTATCAACCATGTCAACTGATGTTATCGGTTCCACCTGCTTCTTGTATTGTATCTATCTTTCTTTTTTCTTGGTTGTGGATTTGGATTTGCTTCTGGAACCGGTCAATGGAATGTATATATGGATCGGTATTTCCATTCTCGATGTTTCTTTTTGTATATACGGTGAACTCTGCCTGTCTATTGAATTGGATCGTGAAAAACACTATCTTCGACCGGTTTACAGTTGGGGCAAACTAGAAAACTGATTTTTTTTTGTTCAACAATGAAGAAAAGAAAATACAATCAATAATAATAATAATAATAATTTCATTTATTGGTAATGCTATGCCAATCAAAAACAGCTTACCGGTCTCTTGATTGACGTTCTGGCACGCTCCTTCGTTTCTTGAGCTTACGTTCTGATCAACTGCATTTCTGGGAATGTATTGTGTTCGTTGATTGACAAAACGAATACATATTCACGTGCCATTTGTTGCAATGCTCGATGCGGACACCGTAGATATCCTTTGATGGGTGAGTTTGATGCAAATTTTGCACCACCAAATGCCAATATCACTGTTTTCTCAGATCCGACATTTTACGATCGACTTTTGTCGTTTGCTTCACCAACACATGCAATGATACCTGCGTACGTGTATATGCATCAAACTTTAAACGAACCACACGCTTTTGGTACTTTATCTGTAATAATTAAGAATGAATGACACACATCAATAAGATGAAATCAAATCAAATCAATAGAGAGAGAGAAAAAAATATGTAAAAATAAATACCTCGCATGATTCATTGAATACATCCAGCTGGTAATCCAGATAGGTACGGTAGTCGGCACTTTTCTTCGAAAGCGTTTCTTCATAAATTTGGCGATTTTCGCGCAGTTTACGGCATTTTTTCTCAAACGCACCCGTAAATCGCTTCAGTTTGTATTGGCGGTTGAAAAAATCGGTCATATGGTGCCACTCTTTCGATGATTTCAGACAATTTTCTTCATTACCGGTTGCCAAATCTTTGTGTACGACCTCCACAAATTCCCTGTAGCCCGGATCACAACCAATAATTCTCTCAATTTGTCCCGAATCATAAGCACGTCGAATGATTGGCGGCAACGATTATTGTCATCATCACCATAATCATTGTTGTTTTTGTTGTTGGTGTTATTATTGTTGGTGTTGGTGTTGTTGTTAACGTTCAGGATGGGATTTTTTTATCATATAATAGATTTGTTAGCAATATGAATCCTTCTGTATCGAATCTTGCATGATGTTTTTCATTGCTTGATTGTGGCACCGCCACAAACGATGACCAATTTCAATGCGGAAAGCTACACAATGTATGTATTGATGGGTCTTTTCTTTTTATTGGAGAATCAAAAACGAAAACAACAAACTTATTTATATTTGCGAAAAAGAAATCTTTAAAAATGAATTATGTAAGTTTTAACGGTCCATTTAACAGTGCTACTAAACTAAAAAGAAACATTTTGTATGATTCGACTTTTTTTTAGAAATTTCAATAAAACAATAAAAAAAAATCATGTATTAAAGCAATTAAATCAAAATAATAAGAATAATTGTAGCACCAATAGTGCTTTTTTTATTTATTTTTTTTTTCTTGGTAATTACGTGAACTACTAAATAAACTGGGCTCAACAGCAGTTTATTGGAAATGTCAAATTTAAAATGTATTGTTTGACATAACCACATTGGCTCATTGATTCAAGTTCTCGCTTCGCAAAGAGGATATGTGAGAGTATGCAAACAAAAGAGAGAATTTAATGTATTTTCATTTACAATGAACGCTACAAGCGACATCATCGTCGTTTTTCGTTCGTACGTTCGTTTCTTTCTCGATGGCAAGTATGCACATATACAAATGCATTGAAATGCACACAATCATAAAAATATTGTGTATTTTATTGCCGTTCTCTACTAACTTACGCCATCTGCTGGCAAAAAAACCGTCCAACCAATGAGCGTCGAGCATTTCGGGTCACATGAACACCGACCAACCAATCAACACAGTAAAGTATACAGAAAAAGAAACAGAGGCGATCATTTAAGATTTTGCCATTGACAAGCATAGAAAAGTTTTTACTTTTCACTTCACATCAACAGCCGCCATTTTACTAATTCGCGACTTAACTAAAAAAGATTTTCGGAGGATATTTCTTAGGTAAATTTATCTAAATAATTATCCAAAATCATTGAAAAAGTTACGCGAATTGTGAATTTAGCATATTTTAATTTGAAAAAAAGTGGTAATTTTTGTGATTTGAACAAATTTAGTGCGGATTATTGCAAAGTGTTTTTCTCTCGTCTTTCGCGTACATAGTAGCATACATATATCTCTCACAATAAAAAATTTTTTTTCCTTCGTTCATCATTATACATATGTGTACATTCGAAGCAAGCAACTCTCGTCAAAAAATAATGTGTATATGAATGTACCGCAGCAATATTTGAGACTCTATACATATACTTATAAAAAAAAAGTTTTTTTTCGAAACATTAAAAAAAGTGGAAATAAAATGGCTTGAGACGAGAAACGAGAGAGAAAAAAACGAAAATTATTTCACAAATTTTGGAACTCATTAAAAAATCAGAAATAAAATTCATCGTCAGTTCTCCGTTGCGCTTGTGTTATATCCATTGTATGTTATGTGCGGAGAGAGTGAATATTACTCGTTTTTTTGTATTTCTTATAAATGGTCGACGGCTATCACACAAACTAAAAAGCTAATTTAAAAAAAAACATCAGAAAATGAATTTTATTCTTTATTCGTTTTTCATAATTTTTTGTTTTCAACAAACACAGAAAATTTTATTATCAAATTGAGTGTTAAAAGCTTTTGGTGTGGAAACATGCAAAATCAGCGGTACATAAAATTATTAACATAAATCGGAACTTTAATAAATAGTGACAATGGATGATCAACCTCCAACGAAACGAGTTAAACTTCGAAATGAGCCCCTGGACGCACAGGATTCTGGTAAGAAGACGAAAAAAATAGTTAGACCCAAAACTAAAGAAAAAAATAATAATAATCAAAAAAACTGAATTAAAAATGTCCAAAAGACGTCTGCGTTTTTAATTTTCTTCAGACCAAAAAAACCGTATCGTAAAATTGAGAAAAAAAGAAACAAGTTTTGCGCAAACAGAAAATGTTCAGAAGCCAGAATAAATAATTGTTGGTCAAATTTGATCTGAATCAAAAGTGATTTAAGTTCTGCATACCGAACGAGCTAAATTAACAGATAAAATTCAAATCGAAAGGATGAATACTTGTGCTTAAGCAACATTTTCTTCGTCAAAAATCAAAACAAAGACTAACAAATAAATCCCTTTCGTTTTTGTTCAGTGCAGTGAAATCGAAATTAAATTTCTTTGCTCCTGTGAAAAAGTGTTTTCATTAAAAAAAAAAATAATAATCATATCAATACAGAATTTCGAGAAAATAGTAAATAGCGTTCAACATCAAAAAAATAATGTTGAAAACTCTGAAAAAAATGCAAAAAAACCGTGTCAAAGTGAACAAAAATTAATGAGCAACATTTCGACAAGTTGTTCCGATGTAGAGACATGTACACATAGAGAATATTCTTAAATATACATATCCCTGTATATATGGCCAAATGCGCATACGCAATATTTATACTCTCGGTATAGAATTAAAATCACTATTGCATCTAAACATACGTCTGTTTGATATGGTGTGTGTATGCGAAATAGTAAAAAATGTACCGAGATTTTGTGTTTTCACTGGTGGCACTGTACCGAAAAAACCGAGTCAACGATAGCAAACGTTTATTATTTTTTTTTGTTGGTGAACGCACGAAAATATACAAACAACAACATCCACACACAATCTCACATTAATTCGCATTCACTTCATATTCGCTCTCTTTTACATGTTTGTTGACAGGAACGGGGAGAAGCAAAAAAATATTGTAATATCAATCAAACTAAAAACGTTCAACGATAGATAGAGTCATGTCCTCATGCACTGCTCTCAACGAGATTCTTTGGTGTCGTTTTTTTCTCTTTGTCTCTCGACACATATATCTAACAAATGTGTATATGCACACCGTGTTGTTATGCTTTTTTTCTCACTCACTTCTCTTTGCTCAATTCGTTTTTTCGCATATTTTTGGTTCTCAAGCGCTATGTGTTTTGGGCCTCTTGGCGCTATACACCTCTCTTTCGCGAAACTCAAATAAATGGAACACAATTCGAATAATATGATGGTTCATTGAGCGAGAGAGAGAGTGTCATGTCACTCTGATTGAGTTGTGTGTGATTTGTACTCTTTGAAATAAAATTCAAAAAAAAGAACGCACACACACCGATAATACATACGAGTGTAAAAAAAAGATTATGCATATCTCAACATTATTTTAAACTAGTTGTGCGAGGCGTCTCCATTCGCCATACGTCGTCGTGGTCTTATAGTTGTTGTTGTTGTTATTATTGTCGTGGTCGTTGTCGTCGTCAACACAGACGACGGCAAAGAGTACAATGCCACACTACACATACGAATGGCGAACAATACATTGACAAGGTGAACAACGAGAATCCCAATGTGTACACGTCTACTCGACTATGTCTATGCACATGCATATGTATGTGCTACTTGCGATTCCGATGTCTGCGTGCCAGTCAATTTTCATTTCGTCCATTCTATATACGATTTTTTTCGTCAGTATTTCTCTACACAACTCTGTTCGCTCCATCTTCTTCTTCTTTTTATTTCTCACTGTTTATTGCTCGTTTTTTGAGAAAGTTTTTTCTCGCTCTCTTCTAAAACTTTTGCTTGAATGAACGAGTTTTTGTTCATACTCAGTTCAATCAAAGAAGTTTTTGATTTATTTATTTTTTTACATAAACTGACTTCATTTTATGAATTAAATCTTAAGATATTCGAAGAATAACATTTCTGCTTACTTTAATCAGTATGAAAATAAGAAAAGCAAATTTTTTTTGATTAATATTAGTGCACATTCAATGAAAATGATCGATTGTAATACACCGTGTATGCTCGTGAGCGTATGTGTGCACACCAATATGTATGCGTATATGGTGTATTTAAATGTATGTACGTGTACGTGCGCTACATTCAGACAAAAATAAGACGACATGATGAAATGATGAACATTGGCTTATTGATATAATGGCGGCTCCATTTTCTGTCTGCGATTTATAAAAAAAATCCAACAACAGTTCTATCAAAAGTGCTTATGTGTGCATTTAGAAGCATGAGCAATGAAACATATTCGGAACTAGTATTCGTCTCTTTTTTTCTCGGTTTCTTAATATTCGTGCATTTGTATGAAAAAAATGTTGATGGCGCGCTCTTCACATAGCATAATAAAAAAAAATATTTTTTACGCTTTTTTCCTCCCTGTTTATTGGGTATATAGATGTGTCAAGTCTTGTATTCAATTTAGAGGATAATTTGCCAGATGAATTGGTATCCAGTGGAAATAATTGGGCGGATAGTATTGGCGGCAATAAGCCAAGCGGTCCGCCCGGAAACAACCAACAGATGAATGGCGAAGATCCGACGGGAGTTCCAAATGTATCTTGGAATCAACACCAACGACCAGGTATGAAACGATTTTCGCTATATCGATATTTGTTATGAAAAAAGAGACGATTTGAATCAATTCTAAAAAAAAAAATATTCGTTTTTTTTGTTATCAATTTTAGGCCATGCACAACAATTACATCATATAATACAACAGCAACAACAACAGGGCAATAAAAATCAAATGCATGGCAATGTAAATCAATTGAGCATGGGATTAATAGGCAATAAAAGCCCAAATTTACAATCGCCACCAAATGCGCTTAGCATGAACTCGATGCCAATGTCAATAGCAAATAATGGCACACCTCCAATGAGTACAATGCAAGTGATGCGTGGTGGTGCCGGTGGCCAAGGTACCGGCGTTGGTGGTGGCGGAGGTGGCATGATTATGACAAATAGTAACATGGGCTCAATGGGCAATGTTGGTGGTATGGGAGGCGGCGGTTTAGTTAACAGTTTAAAACAATCAATGACATCGGGTGGCAATATGCTTATAAACCCGAACGCTATGCAACCAAATAATCAACAAGGCATTCATCATTCAATTCATCAAAATTCCATGCAAAATGGTCCAATGGGTGCAGCAGGCATTCGTCTGAATATGCAACAACAGCATATGGCGAGTATGCAACGGATGCCCAATCAGATGCTAATGAACAACCCAAGAATGGTTCTCAATCAACCACAACAGGTACAGAATTTTTTCTTATTAGTCAAAAACGGAAGTATTCTATAAAATATATTTTATTGGGCAACAAGTATTTAATGAGTTTTCCATTTCTTCCATAGCAGCAACAACAAACATCAATGAATGTTGGAGGCGGAGGTCCTGGCGGTAATATGATAGCAATGAACATGCAAGTAAGTACACACACACACACACACAATATTACCTAGTTCATTGCAAACGTCTTTTTATTTTAAATTGTTAACCGATTGCAATTTAACATTTTTTTCGACTCTGAAATATGTTTCAGTTGTATGGACAACAACCGCAACAACAAGTACAACCCAATCAACAACCAATGATCAACACTATGGGGGGACCAACACGAATGCTCTTGCCAGGAAATCGAATGTCTGTACCACAACCGAATATGATGAATGCTGTAATGCAACAACAACAACAACAACAACAACAACAACAGCAACAACAACAACAACAATCTCAACAGCAGGTATGCCCAGATGACACTCTTACCCTATAAATGTGACCGGAAGTGCATTTTTTCTCTCAAAATAAAAAAAAAAATCGAGAAAAAAAGAAATCAAATATGATATTCGTTAAAATCAAATGTTGTATTCGATACTCAATAGCAATCACTGCAACAGCCACAGCAACAAAATCAACAAGTTATGATGAATGATGATCCACAGCAAATGATGGGTAATGCACAACCGCAACAATCACAAGGTACTGGAGTACCAAGTGGACAGCAACGACCACAACCGGTGAGCTATTTTATCAGTTTATATTCAAACTTTTTTCTAAATTTATAATGAAAAAAAAAACAAATAAATAACAAAATATATCTTTCCTCAACAAAATCCAAAACAAACAAACAAAAGCAGCAGCAACAGAATCAAAATATGCCCGGACAGTTGCAAACCGATCCAGAGAAGCGTAAACTTATTCAACAACAATTGGTGTTATTGTTACATGCGCACAAATGTCAAAAGCGTGAAAATGACAATCCAAATGGTCAAGATGCAAGCAAATGCATGTTACCACATTGTAAAACAATGAAAGAGGTTTTAAATCACATGACTAACTGTAAAACAAACAAAGATTGTTCGGTGCCACATTGCTCCTCGTCACGTCAAATAATTAGTCATTGGAAAAATTGTAATCGATCTGACTGTCCGGTATGTTTACCGCTAAAACAGGCGAATAAAGCAAACAATAGCAATCCTCAAGTTGGTGGTAACGCGACAAATCCATCGACAATGAACGTACAGTCAAACGTGAATGCAACATCAAATGCACCATCTAGTATTCCGAATATAAATACTCCAAATCAACCAAATCAAGGCAGTCAACCGGGCGAAGGTTTAAATATTCCGTTGACCGTAAATGATCGACGAAATTACGATTCGATGAATATGAATCAATCGGGTAATGCACCGAATACAATGTCAGCGAATGCACAAGGAATGCAACAAATGGGAGGAGGTGGAGCCACTGGCGGTGGCACACAAATGCCAACAACACAAAATATAATGCCAGGAATGCGCAATCCAAATAATTCACTTCGAATGTCTGGACCGCCAAACAATATGAATGCCGGCAATACAATGAACAACGCAAACATGAATAGCGTTAATATTGGCAACGCAAACATGGGCAACGCCAACATGAACAATCCGAATATGAACCAAGTGGTACGAGTTCTTGTTCCGCCAAATCAACAGCAACAACAGCAGAATTCAAATCAAATTATACCAAATCCGATGCTCTTGAGCCCTGAAATGAGCGGAGTAAGCGGTGGTGGCAATACAAACACAAGTAATAGTCAAGTCAGTCAATTGGCAAACACGTTGGGTTTAAACACAGTTGGAGTCAATTCAAACGTTTCAATGGTGAGTAATGCCAAAATGTTCTATTTTTCAATAATATTTTCCATGTTTTTGAATCTTTATGGATTCGACCATTTAATTTTTTTGGCAGCTTGAAACGATAAAAAAAAACATTTAATATTATTTTCATTTGAAATGTTATGTTTTACAGCAGCAACTAGCTAACTCACAACAAAATCAACAGCAACAGCAAGCTGGACAGTCACAAAATCAGTCACAAATTTCGAACATTCCACAAGTGAACATTCAAAACATTCAAACGCTGTTTGGAAGCGATAATCCAAATGGTCCGGGTGCATCGTTAGGCCCATTAGGATCATTACCAATGAATTCACAAGTGCAAGCATCGAATGTGCCTGGTACAAAAGACTGGCATAATTCAATCACCCCTGATCTTCGAAATCATTTAGTTCATAAGTTAGTGCAAGCAATATTTCCAACACCAGATCCGGCCGCAATGCTCGACAAACGCATGCACAATTTAGTTGCGTACGCTAAGAAAGTTGAAGGTGACATGTATGAAATGGCAAATTCTAGATCGGAATATTACCATTTGTTGGCGGAGAAAATCTATAAGATTCAAAAGGAATTGGAAGAGAAACGGCAAAAACGAAAGGAACAACAAATGCAACAAATGCAACAAAGTCAAGGCGGTACTACATCAGCAACGGCAACAACACCACAACAAACCGGCCCAATGCAATCGGGCGGCATTCAATCGAATCAGCAGCAACAACAAATTCGACCAAATAGTCAAGGTGGAATGAGTAGCCTGCAAAATGTATCGGGCATTGTGAGCGCACTGCAACGAAATATGCCGATGCAACAGTCACCACTGATGTCGCAACAAACATCTCAAAGTCAACTGCCGAATCTTGACTCCGGCATGCAACAGAGCACAGCCAATATCAATCAACCGAATGTTTCCGTTCCGAATTCGGGCATTGTAAATCCGTTGCAACGAAATAACGTTATGCACTTACAACAAATGCAACAAAGAGCAAATATGCCACCGATGCAACAATCACCGATGATGTCACAGCAACAACAATCAATACAAAATCAAATGCAAAATATCGACTCAAATATGCCACAAAATGCTGGCAATGTGAATCAGCCAAATGTTTCGGTTCAGAATTCCGGCATTGTAGGCACGCTGAGAGGAAACGCACAAATGCAGCAACAAATGGCCAACATGCTATCACAACAACAGCAACAACAGGTTAGATCATCATTTTATCCTTCTCTTTATTCCAAATTTAAGTTTAGTATACTTTCAATTTCAACGAGATCAATAATAATAATGTTACTTTTTTTCATTTTCATTGAATAATAGGATCAAAATCAAATGTTAGCTAATCAAATGACGACCAATCAGCAAGGAAATTCGAATCAATCAAACAGTATGCAGCAACAGCCACCGACACCAAACTCACAAAATCAATCACAAAATACACCGCAAACTGTCACACCACAACTCACGCCGAATCAACAGAATCAAATGATTCCAACGCCACAGCCACCATCATTGCCACAACAGGTATATTATTATTATTATTTTTATGTCTCAATAAAAAGTTCTCTAATTGAAAAAAATAAAATCATACAAACATGCATATTCAAACTGTTCTGTTCAATTGAATTTAAAAAAAAAGAGCAAGTGTGCTAAAAAAAGAAACAATATTGTTGTCTTTTACAGAGTCCATCACCAAATCGTGGTCCATCAAGTAATATGTCAAATGGGCCAATTCCAGTGAATACACCACAGCAACCGAATGCACAACAAATGAGTAGCCCATCACCGTTGGCATCGCCAGCCCATACAAATACGCCTTTAATGAATACGCCTGCCAGTACACCGACATCGAACGTAATGACTATGCAAAATAGCACAACATCGTCATCGTCAATGGGTAAATCCGGTGGACCGAACCAAAACGATCGCACCACACCAATATCACGCCCAATGAATTTGCCCTCACAGCAAATGACATCTGCCTTAGAATCATCATCGCAGGATCGCGATGAAGATTCCCAATCGCCAAGTGATAATAATAGCATCAAAGGAAAATGTGACATCAAACAAGAACACGACATAAAATCCGAAATGGATGAAGAAACAAATCTAATGGATACAAATAGTAATAACAGTAACAGCAATTGTGGCGGTAAAAGTATCAATAATGATATGGCACCGAGCATTAAAACGGAAATAAAAACCGAAGCAATGGACCAAGGCGACAATAATTCAGCCGATAGTGAAAACGACGATATGAATGAAACAAAAGATGAAATGAAAGACGAACCGTTATCACCGGTTGAATCAAAACCAAAAGTTGAGAAAAAATCAACCATTCCAGAGCCCATCGAACAAGATATGACCGAAAAAGATAAGAAAAAGAAATGCCGTACGTATTTTTATTTATTTTATATACATATTTATACATATTGTAATCAATGCGATGAGTGAATGCATGTAAATTAATTTCTCGTAACCCCTTTGCAAATCCCTCCACACAGTGTTCAATCCTGACGAATTACAAAAGGCATTGATGCCAACATGGGAGAAAATATACGTGTTAGAAGAATCGGCCCCCTTCCGACAACCGGTTGATCCAAATCAACTTGGCATACCCGATTATTTCGACATCGTACGCAAACCAATGGACTTGAGCACCATCCACACAAAATTAACAACTGGAAAATATTCAGATCCATGGGAGTATGTGGATGATGTTTGGCTAATGTTCGACAACGCATGGCTATACAATCGAAAAACGTCTAGGGTTTACAAATATTGTACCAAGGTAATGACAATTTCATTTATTTTCGTAATTATCAAGCAAACATTCAAATCGTTTCATTTCAATTAAAAGTTCAAATTTAAACGAATTTTTTTAAATAATCGAAAATATTCGAACTTGCAGCTATCGGAAATATTCGAGCAAGCCATTGATCCAGTCATGCAACAACTCGGCTATTGTTGTGGACGAAAATACACATTCAATCCACAAGTGCTGTGTTGTTACGGCAAGCAATTGTGTACGATTCCACGAGACGCCAAATACTATAGTTACTCTAGCAGTTTTTCGGCTAAGTAAGTGAACATTTATTTTCAATACAAGTAGTTAGTTAAGCAAAAAATTGCGGTCCTTTTCATTGATTTGAATACATTCTATTATTTTGCAGTAATTATATCACAAACCGATATACATTTTGCCAAAAGTGCTTCAATGATATTCCAGGTGACACAGTCACACTGGGCGATGATCCGATACAATCAAGCCAAATTAAGAAATCTGAATTCACCGAAATGAAAAATGATCATTTGGAATTGGAACCATTTGTCGATTGTCTTGAATGTGGTCGAAAACAGCATCAAATTTGTGTATTGCATTTAGATACTATTTGGCCGGCTGGTTTTGTGTGCGATAATTGTCTCCGAAAGAAAGGCGAACGAAGAAAAGAGAATAAATTCAATGCAAAACGATTGGCACAAACGAAACTAAGCGTGTACATCGAAACACGTGTAAATAATTTCTTAAAAAAGAAAGAGGCTGGTGCTGGCGAAGTGCACATTCGTGTGGTATCCAGTTCGGATAAAATTGTTGAAGTGAAACCGGGTATGCGAAGTCGTTTCGTTGAGTCGGGCGATTTGAAAGCCGATTTTCCATACCGTGCCAAAGCATTGTTTGCCTTCGAAGAAATTGATGGCATCGATGTATGTTTCTTTGGAATGCACGTTCAAGAATATGGATCGGAATGTTCGCCACCAAATACGCGACGTGTCTATATTGCGTACTTGGATTCGGTGCATTTTTTCAAGCCTCGACAATATCGAACGGCCGTTTATCATGAAATTCTTCTCGGCTACATGGATTATGCCAAACAACTGGGCTATACAATGGCACACATTTGGGCTTGTCCACCATCGGAAGGTGACGATTACATTTTCCATTGTCATCCACCTGATCAAAAGATTCCAAAACCAAAACGACTGCAAGATTGGTACAAAAAGATGCTTGATAAAGGTATGATTGAACGGACGATTCAAGATTACAAAGATATTTTGAAGCAAGCCATTGAAGATAAGCTGCAATCGGCCGCCGATTTGCCGTACTTTGAAGGCGATTTTTGGCCAAACGTTCTTGAAGAAAGTATAAAAGAATTGGAACAAGCCGAAGAAGAAAAGAAGAAACAAGCGGAAGAAGAGGCTGCTGCCAATGCGGTAAGACTTTTGCGAACAGCAAATGCAGAAGACAATATCAATAAATTTATTGTTATCGATTCACAGATATTCTCACTCAATGAAGATCATGATCCACCACAAGAAGATAAGAAAAAGGGACAAAAGAAGGCAAAGAAATCGAATAAATCGAAAGCTAATCAACGTAAAAATAACAAAAAATCCCACGAGCAACAGAGTGGAAACAATTTAAGCGCAAAAATCTTTGCGACAATGGAAAAGCATAAAGAAGTTTTCTTTGTGATTCGTTTACACTCGGCTCAATCAGCGGCTAGTTTGGCAGTGAGTTCAAAATTGATGTGATTTATCTTTATGATGTGTAAATAAAAACGAAATATTTGTTATTTATTTTATAGCCAATTCAAGATCCAGATCCGCCTATTAACTGTGATTTGATGGATGGTCGTGATTCCTTCTTGACACTTGCCCGTGATAAACATTATGAATTCTCATCGCTACGTCGAGCACAATACAGTACGCTATGCATGTTATACGAACTGCATAATCAAGGCCAAGATAAATTTGTTTACACGTGTAATAACTGCAAGAACCATGTTGAAACTCGGTTCCATTGTACTGTCTGTGACGTAAGTTTTTCATATATCTTTTTATCCGAAATTTTCGACTCAATTCTTTACTTTTATGAATATAAATAATTTGACTTTTATCGAATTTCCAGGATTTCGATTTGTGTACAATTTGCAAAGACAAAGTCGGTCACGAGCATGCAATGGAAAAGTTGGGCTTGGATTTGGACGAAGAATCACCGAACGATTTGAAGCAAACCAATCCACAGGAAGCGCGCAAGCAATCGATTCAACGATGCATCCAATCGTTGGTTCATGCATGTCGCTGTCAAGAGCAACAATGCCGTCAACCATCTTGTATGAAGATGAAACGTGTTGTGGCGCACACAAAGGTTTGCAAACGCAAAACCAACGGTGGATGTCCAATTTGCAAACAACTTATCGCTTTGTGCTGTTATCATGCGAAACATTGTAACGAAGCCAAATGTTTGGTGCCTTTCTGTCCAAATATCAAGCACAAACTGAAACAACAACAGCTCGCTCAACGGTATGAGAGTGATTTATTTTTCTTATTTTTCTCAGATTTTATGATATTAATTGTTAATCTTTGTGTTTACCTATTTAACAGTGTTCAACAAGCAGAATTGTTGCGCCGTCGTGTTGCATTCATGAACAATCGAACGGCCCCAATGATGAACACACAACAAGCAGCAATTTGTGCCTCACAAAATTCAGCTGCCAATGTTGGCTTAATGCCACAAATGCAAGGCAACGCAATGTCACAAACTGGAAAATTAAATGTATCACAGTTGCAAGGCGGTCAAATGGGTAATCAAATGATGAATCCGAATACAATGGCTTCATTGAATCCAATGAATAATAATTCGGGAATGATTGGATCGAATCCAATGATGGGCAATGCAAATCAAATGCAACAACATCAAATGAGCGCCGGAAATATGATGAGCACTGGCATGAACAATCCAATGGTAGGAAATAATTCAATGAATCCGGGTAATATGATGAACGCAAACAATCAAATGGTCGGCCAAATGAATAACATGAATCCAATGTCAGGAAATGCTGGAAACCAAATGCAACAACCAACGCAACAGGTAATTGATCGATTAAATTAAAATATTAATACGATTTGATCCATAAACTGTTTTCCAATCTGATTGCTCACTTTGCATCGTTGTTATTTTTGTCCTTTTTAGATGAACACTGGAAACATGATGACAAATACTGGTTCAATGAATGTAAACAATCAAATGCCTGGCGGTATGCAAATGCAAGGGAATAATCCGATGGGTGGAAATGTTTCAACGCCAAACATGTCAGCAATGAATACCGGACCAATGTCTGGAAATCCAATGGGAAGCAATACATCATTGGCGAGTCCAGCGTCAGCAGTTTCATCACCAATTCCTCACATGGGCACCATGAATAGCTTGGGCAGTCCACTTCAACCGGGAATGGCAATGAAACCAGGCGCCCAAACACCACCGGCCAACGTATTGCAAGTTGTCAAAGAAGTGCAAGAGGAGGCGGCGAGACAAGGATGTGGCGGTTTCGGGAAGAATTTACCGGGAGCTGGTTCTATGCCACCACCACCAGCCGCTTTGCAACGCATGAATGTTGGCATGGGTATGCAGCAACAAAATCCCATGCTATCGCCACAACAACAGGTAACTTGGATTTCAAAATTAATTATTATTTCACGCAAAAAAAAAAATTCGCTATTTGTTTGAAGAAAATATGCAAACATTCCACTAATGTATTTTACAACCAAAATTTTCTATCAGCAAAATCCACAACAATCACCACAGCAAGGTCAACAGTCAATGGTAAATGCAACTCAACAACCAAATGCCATGAATGTTGGAAATGCTGGTCCAAGTGGTAATTTAATGCCAATAAACGACTGGAATTCTCGGTTTCCGAACAATGCCAATCAAGGTCTCCGTCCACCGAATCCTTCGCTTATGCAACAAAATGCAATGCAACAACAACAACAAATACCACAACAGCAGCAGCAACAACAACAACAGCAAACGCCACAACAGCAACTAATGAACATGAGAATGCAAGGCATGGGACAAAATGCACAGAATATGAACAATAAACAAGCATTACAACAACTAATGATGACGCTGAAAAATCAAAACACAGCCAACAATCCGGACCAACAACAGCAAATTCTAAATATTCTAAAATCAAATCCACAGCTGATGTCAGCATTCATTAAACAAAGACAGGTATGTAGTGTTAACGAGTGTGTTAAGACCAATAATAATTGTAGTGATGAAAAATAAAATCAAATTAAATAATGTGGATTTTATTTCTTCAGCAGGCACAAAATCAGAATCCAAATGCACCTGGCGGAAATGTACAAGGACAAGGGAATATGCAACCAATGATGAGCCCGCAACAACATTCACAGCAACCTCAACAGCCACAACAGCAACAGCAGCAGCAACCTCCGATGCCCGGCCAAATGAGCGGCCCTCGAATGCAATCGATGCAAAATATACCGTCAATGCAACAAATGGGCCCAATGCAGGGCAATGCTGGAAATCAAATGCAGGGACAAGGACAAACTAATCCACAACAGCAGGTGAGCTAAATACACAATTGAATATCATTTCAAACAAAACTAAACAAAACTGAACAAAACAAATGTTTAATTTTTTTATAATAACCATTCATTTCAATGTTTGTGTGCGTGTAGCAATGGTTGATGAAAAACCAAATAATGATGAGACAGCAGCAAATGCAAATGCAACAACAAGGAAATTATCCACCGCCATATTCGCAACATTCGCAACGAATGAGAATGCCATTCCAACAAGGCAGCGGAAATATTGGAAACGATCAACAACAATTCGGTAAGTTTGAACACTTAAAAAATAATAACAGAACAAAAACTAAAAATTTCTTCAAAAGCTCATTTCATTTCGGGCAGTAATTCGAGCAAAAGTCTTTAATACTGTTAGCCAAAATGGACAGTAAATAAGTAACAGAATGAGCACTAAAATTGTACAAAAATTGAAAATTTTGAACTAAAAATGACAAAAAGAAGAAATTGCATAAAACTTCAACACTTTAAAAAAAAGCAACCACGAAAGAAAAATTACTGTCCAAGAAAAATTTCATAACATTTTTGGTAAGAACTCGGAAATAAAGAAGGCTCAATTCAGCACTTTTTCGTTCGTTGTTTTTTCATGCACATTTATTATATTGGGAGTGCTGAAAAATGGACTAGGTAGACTAAAATTGCAAAGATTCAAGAAAAAATAACAACTCATTCGAAAGTTGTGAGTGTAGTGAAATGTTCTGTTTTCGGAAGATGGAACTGAAAAATGATCAGTGATAATTTCTAGCCAAAATCCATATCATAGTAACAGATTTGAATAAGATTGTCCAATGTCTGGAAATGTAATGCTTGTAATGATATTTTTTTCAACAAACCATTGTGCATCTGTTATGAGGTTCAGTTAGTTGTATCGTGAACGCACAATGGTTGGTTGAAAGCAAAAATCTATGTTGTACAGTTCTACTGCTCGGATAATTAAATTGACTATTTCCACTTCGTATTTATCCAATCTTCAAATTACTTTTGTCATTTATATAGGTATGAATAGAATGCAACATAATCAACAAGGTGTAATGGGCCCACCAACACCGCAATCCATGTCAATGCAAAATCAATTTGCACAAGTTCGATCACCACCGCCAAATCGAAGCCCATCATCGAATCCTTCACCGCGCGCACCGCCATCGGCATCACCACGTGCACAACCGTCTCCACATTTAGCAAGTCATTCGCCAGCCCCACAAATGGGGGCAAATCAACAGCCTGGAAACAGTGATATGCATATGCATCAACATCAATCGCCAATTTCAAATATGCAGACTGACAATATGAGTGTACAAGGTAAGTGAAATCTACAGGCGGTTGGCTTTTGTTTCATACTTTTTGTTACATCGATAACATATTTGTTTTTCTTTTAATTTGCTTTGCAGGTGGTATGGACAATATGCAAGCAATGACAGCTCAAGACCAACTCACGAAATTCGTCGAACAATTGTAGTAATATTTTGTATTTTGTTGCCAATTTAAATTGTGTGCGCATATGGGATGTAAAATGAATTTTTTATGGGCAAAGATTCCACATTTAGTCAAATTTTATACAATTTAAGCCAAAAAAAATTGATGAAAAAAAATATATCGACGAAAATCGTGCGGATGCAAAACAGATCTATATTTAGGCAAAAATAGTCTTTTGTCGACTTTGGTGTTCTGCCTTAAAATTTGTTTCTCATTATGATTATGATTATTATTATTGATTAATTATTATTATCTATTCGCTTTAAGTGTATTTATTTAATTCCTTTTTCAAAAACTCATTTTTTTCCTTCTTTTTTTTAATGAATTTTTATGATTTCTATCAACATATATATATGAATATATAAATATCATTATGATTACATGTAAATAAGTAGCATATATATTTCATTGATGCTGATTCTTTTCCTAAACAAATAAAAAGAAAAAAAATTAACGAAGTGAGTTATGCATTAAAAGTGAAATTCAGATTACAGTTAAACAATATTAGTTTCTATTTAGGTTCGTGTATATAAATTTAAACTAAAAGAAAACCAACATTAAAAAACATGAATTAACCAATATACGAAATGATTTCAGTTTTTAGATTATTATTATTTCTTTATTAACAAATCTTAACTGATTATGCCCAATGGAAATAAACAAAACAAATATAAACACAGCATGTGAAAACATGCATAAGATGTGTAATAAACGAACGATCTTGTGCAGAACAAAGTAAAATGTTTTGAATAAAAAATATTGATCAAAAAGGAAAATGACCTATTAGTATACTACGTTTATCGTATATATATAATTGACGTGATCTACCATATAAAAAAAAAGAAAAGAAAATAGAGAGAGTAATAGAACGGCAACTAATTATAATCCAAAAACGACCAAAATGTAAGGACGTTGTTTTTATGTGAGTGAATAGGAAAACATACGATTATGAAAATTATTTAATTAATGTATTTCGTTACACAAAACAGACAAAATATTATCTAAAACAAAGTCATAGAAATGTTATGCCTCCAAAACGAAAGGGAAAATTGATTCGATCACGGTGTACGCACACCGTGCATATAGATAAACAAGTGGAAATACAATGTGGTTTCAATTCTAAATTGAATCGACATTTTATGAACGTTTAGTGAGTACTTATTGAAGTGAAAATCGTTGAGATAGAAAACAAAAAACCACAAACAAACTATAATTCCTGTATTTTGTTATTGAAAAGGAGAGACGAGAGAACAGAATTAAATGAAAAAACAAGCAGTTGTAACTTTGTATTTTATATTGCATTACAATTTAGTACATTTAATAACGGATTTAAAACGAATTGAATTTATTAATCTATTTGCAAGAATCGAAATGATTGTGAGTGTTAGTGTGCAGTCATTCCAAAGGCGCCCACAACATCACGTTGTAAAATTTAATCTAAACCCTTATATTAATGAACATATTCATACAAAAAAGGAAAGTGTAATGTAAATGAAAATGAATTAGCATAGAAAAAAAACATAGACAAACTGATGAAAAAAACACTTTTACTAACTAAAAGTTTCGGCGCATCATAATGATGGTGATGCGCATGGGGGGATACCTTTAAACACATTTATATTAGGATCGCGATCTAAAAAAATCTTACATAACCAACAAACACACACACACACACACATAACACACGTGAATATTAATCATAAAAATAAAATATAAACTTATATAACGCGCATAGAATATTCAATCAAAATGAAGTGAGAGAAAAGAAAAATCATCATCAAAAATATTTATACTAATGGAACTGTACAGAAGTAATAGAAGAACTACGCGAAAGAGAGAGAGAAAACCACAAATGAAAATGATATGATGAAATCACACCGCGAATTATTAGGAACAGTGCAAATTTGGCACATTCTCGTCGAAACGAGTACAAACATACTGTACTCAACTCATACAATGGACATCAAGTAAACTAAAATAGATAAACCAAAAGTAGCATGAAAACGAAACAAGACGAGAAAAAAACAACAAATGAACACAAATGCATAATAAGAGGGAAAAAAATCATTAATTCAAATCGTTATAATTATTATTATTAAATCTATTATTGTATTTTTGTTAGGACTTTAAGGACACACATCTTCTTCCTTTTTCTTTATTTTCATTATCAAACAAAAAAATAGATTTCAGTTATACATGATAAACAAACACACACTCGAAAATGAAATAACATTAACCTGTACATGTAAAGGAGAGAGACAAACAACAACAACAAAACAAAACAAAAAACAAACAATTTGAAACAAATTATGTAATTATTAAAAAGTATACACATAATAAATCAATTAATAAAATTTAAATAAAAATGAGTTATTACAAAAATAAAAATACAAAAAATCGTGTATATTTCCACATGTTTAATATATGGCGCCAATTTATTTTTCGACCTTTTACGTTTATGTGTGTTTGTGAACGACATAAGAATCATATTTATAATCTCAGCTTCCACAAAATACAGAGACCTCTATTTTACCATGTTTTTAAAAGCATATATTTAACTGCGTCATCATATTCTGTTTTCATTCAATTCTGGTGTTGTTCCAATCGGGCACCGGAAATACACGTAACACACACACACCCAAACCATGAAAACCGCCAACATTTCCTTTTGTGGCATCCATTCCTTCGCGCACCTTCCTTTTGTACATTTCAACTTCAAACATGAGAACGACTAAATTCTCTTTCTTCTTTCATGGTGTAACATGTGGAGAGGAAAAAAAAAATACACACATCGATACAGCCTTAGTCACACACGAAGATGGCAAATAACTTTGCTCACTTAAATTAACCGATTTAACGAGTTATTTTTTACCAAGAGAAGAAATACTTCTTGACTAATACACATCCGTTTGCGACCAATACATTCTTTAATTCGTAATGGAATTCAATATATCAATTTTATTCGATAAAAAAATGCATTTTTGTGTTCAAAAAGTATCTAAACATTATCTATCTATTGAAGAAAAAAACATTGATAATAATTTTTTTTTAATTTTCGGTCTATCGAAATGTAAATTTTTTATAGTTGAATAAACTTAGACACTAACAAAAACCAATGACCACAAAAATGTACTTTAAATCCAAGCTATTTCAAGTTGAAGTTATTCAACTGCATAGGTACTATTTGAAAAGTTTTAAATTGTACAATGTTATTGTATATGGGAAAATTGTTTTCCTCATTTATTTAAAGCAAAGAAAAACAACAACCAATTTTTAGTCCCACACGAACAAGAAATTAAATTAAGAAAACTGCACACTAGACATTTTTAACTAATTCAAATTGAAAATCCAATAGGAAGCGAAAAATAAATATATATGTTTTAAATAATGGCAAATAACTGAATGTTAAAATAAAAAAAAACTCACGAAAAAGCAAACCTTAACACATTAAGAATAAAATTGAAAATGAACAAAACAACAATGAAAACACCTCATAAATCACAATATTTATGGCTATATTTTAATCAACTTGATGTAAAAACAAAATACATATGAAATTTGATTTTAAGAGAAAAAAAATGGATCAGAAATGAATTCCGTGCATATTGATTTAGAAAGTGAACAAACGGAATAGCGTTTATTATTACTATTATTGCCGGTTAATCACATTTTAAGTGTTACACGTAAAATTATTATTATCAACAGATTGGATACAGTAAAGAAAAAAACACATATTTAATTGTAAAGAAAACAGATAAACGAATAAAAAACGAGTAAAATTTATTATCTATTGCATTTTTTCTGCTTTTACTTTTCCGCACACCTAGTGTAGGGAAGGTATTGTATTAGGCCAAAAAATTAAAGTCATCCCAAAACATGTTTTCTATGCATATTTA